AAAAAAAAAAAGAAGAAGAAGGCATTAATGAGTAATAAAATAGAGAAATTATCCGTGGTCCTCGCGATAGCCGTGATGGTAGTAGTGGCGGCTAACGGGCCCCGAGTGGAGGCAGCCATCGGTTGTGGGTCGGTAGTCTCGTATCTGCAGTCGTGCGTGGCCTACGTGACCAACAAGGGCCCGATTGGCAGCTGTTGCAGTGGGGTCAACGGCCTGTATGTGGCCGCCAAGACTAAGGAAGATCGACAGAGCGTGTGCGTGTGCCTCAAGACGGTAGCTGCCTCGTATTATGGGCTCGACCTTGACAAGGTCGAGGGCCTTCCCGCTACATGTGGCATCGACATTCCATATAAGATTAGCCCTTCAACCGATTGTGCCAAGTATGTATAATTAATTAATGTATTAGTAACATATATGTCACATTTTGTATATATGTGTGTATGTATCTTTTTAAATTGTCCTATTACCTTATTCAAGTGTTAATTCAATTTTGCAGGGTGAATTGAGGGAGGTTATAATTCAAATGTGGCCGAGCATATGGAAGAAAGCGTTATATATATGGATGGTTTATTTAGCAACCTGCATGAATATATGTATATGTATTAATAATGAAAATAAGTCACGGCGGGTTAAGTTGTTCAAATAATTAAAATCTGAATGTGATTTCAGAGTTATATATGCATGTATATGATAAAGAAGCAACTTAGATTCTATCGTGTACTTGTGTTACTTTTTGCTTATGGTCTTTTCCTTTTGGTTTGTTGACTAAATGACGAAAACCCCAAACAAGATATGATGAAGATACAAGGATTCATAGTTGTATTTGTATAGAAATTGGCGAAGACAGTACATGATGTTAATATATACATATGATATAATATATTTAATATATATTATATGATATACATGTGATATAATTTTATATAAAATATTAGTACCTTGAAATACCTTTGATGTGTTTTGCGCGAACCGATCTGCCATCTTCACCAATTGGCAATTGCAAAATACAGGCTGACGCCCACGTCAATTTTCAAACTTCCGACTTTTGTAGTAATCACATTTTAGGGCTTTCAAATGTGGTAATTGAAAAACTGGTTTTTGGCAATTGGCAATTTGTTTGTATACTTTCAAGAGAGAGAGAGAGTGCCAAAAATACAGAATTCCCTAAGATAGACCACTCTATCATCTCTCCCATCACAGGTTCAACAAGTCCCCTTAATAGAATATAAAGATGTTGTAATAAATAGTTGTACCTTTAGTTTTAGTTATTGTACCTTTTTACTATGTACAGAAGTGTTAGTTAGAGAATAACACTTTTAATGTAATGTACTCATATAAATAGGGATCAAACCCTAAACTCGACACTGTTGGTTCATTTTATTTTCTTATCCAAGTTTTCCTTTCTTCTTCTTTCTCTCTGTAAATCTTTTGTTCAATATACTGTGATCTAACATGGTATCAGAGCAACAAAAAAACAAGAGAAAAAACATGGTTTGAGAGAGTATATGAGATGAAATGGACAATCTCTTAACAAGAAACTAACCATTTTTACATAAGAACAAACAATGTTATCCAAGTAAACCATAAACAAACAATTAATAAACGACTACTAAACTAGCCATCGTCCAGCTTGAAATCAGCCACTGTCTGGGCGTACGATAATCTATACAAAATATAATTCATAAATCACAAATAAACTAGTAATGACCGAACATAAACGCAGCCCCTTACTCTGGAGCCCTTGCTTGGTCTCTTGCCCAATGCCCTTGCTCGGCACCCTTGATCCACAGAGTGTGTGAGTGTGGTGTGAGTGTGTGTGTGTGTGTGTGTTTTTCTTCTCCTCTCTCTAAACTTGCCTCGAGTGTGTTTGATGTGTTTGACCTTGCTCTTGCTCGGTGCTTTGTATTACAGCGGACCAATTACTAATTTAGTCTCTAACTCGTACATTACTCAGTTTACTTACTTAAATATATTAATATTTATATAATAAAAATTATAATAATATATATTTTATTATGAAATTATGTATGATAAATATGCAAAAATAATAAATAACTAAAAAAATGATAATTAATTCTATACCCGTATTTACACTAAATTTGTCAAAAAAGATAGTTTTTTATTATATTTTTAAAATTATATATGTATAAAACAAATATTTTTTAATTCAAAAATTTTATTGTATTGTGATTAAATTTTACATTTATAGAGTTAGTGTCTGACGTCTATTAATTTTTCAAGTATTTTGAATTCACATAATTAGTAATTTAGAATTTACGTAGAAATGTATTATTTTATAGCTTTGTGAAATATAAAATTATTTTATAACATTTAATTATGATATTATTTTATTTTTATTTATTAAATAAAATAATAATATTCAGTTTTTTATATGATCTATTTAAATTGAGAAATAATATTTTATAATATTTTTTAAATTTATTTTATGTAATACTTAATTTTTATTTTTTTTTTCAAAATTTATGGTAAAATAATAACAAAATGATTATTTTATGGTGTATTAATGAATTAGAGTTAACTATCTGTATAAAAATATTTATATTGTTATTTGATGTATTTTATATTGAGTTGATAATAAAATTAATTTTATTTATAAATATAGATGTATTTATTTATTATTTTATATATGCAATATGGATGTCAAATCAAAGATCGTTAAAAATATGATTATTTTGGTAGTTCATATATAATAAAAAAAATACAAATAAAAAAGTTTTAAATAAAATGATTACAAATTTATAAAATTAAAAAAATTATCTCCAATGCACAATGTAGTCTAATTACAATATTATTACTTATCAAATATTAAAATGTAGTAAGAAAATTAATTAATTAATTAATTAATTAATTTAAAATTGATAAAAATAATTTTCTCTCTTCTCTTTATTGACTAGCTAGAGTGTGGATGAGAATGTGGATGAACCACATTCGTCTCTACATTGTAGGCATTAATTATGTACACATCATCACGACATTTGTGATCACATTGTGCAATGGAGGATGAGAAGTTGTGACATTGCTAAATATGTTGATGTAGAATGTAATTTACCGCAACAACGTTTGAGCATTGGAGATAGTTTATGGAAAATTCCAAACCTAGCAGTCAAAACCAAACCTGAACATGTGTCAATACGAAGCACCAGTTTATGCCAAATAAGCTTACGAAACACACGAGCCTGTCACTTAGGCTCAGCGCATTCGAGAATTATATAGAGGGGCGATTAGTTTATTATTGTTATGATCAAGTTTAAGATATATTTATATAATTTTATAAATTAAAAATATTATATACTATTGTATAAATTTATAAAGTATGTAATTTTATGAAAAACAGAACATTCATTTGTGTACTTTTTTGTTTTGCTACTTGGTGCGTACTTCTCCTAGTTTTCATTTTTCTCTATACTTTTATAACATATAAATCTATAAAGCTGTGTAAATGAACTTTCATTGAAAAAAAACAAGCTACTTAAGACGCTATTGGATATGGGTCACTGATTATGATCGGTTTTGATCAACTGAGTTATTTTATACAGAAAAAAAAAACATCAAAATTGAGTTATTTTATATAGATAAAAAATCCAATTCAACCAAACTCTCCTACTTTCTATCGATATAATTTAATAATATTAATCAATCATCCTCATACATCACATCAATTTCAATTTACTATTCATCTACTCACATAATTTTAATTATCTATCAATTCCAATTACATCGCTCCTACTTTTACATTAAATCAACTTTAATGATTATATTTTAAATATTATTTTAATATAAGCTCAAAATCATCACCTCAATCAATTTTATTTAAAATAACTCACTTTAACCAACCAAAACCGATTGAATTCATATCTAATCACACTCTTAGGCCTCGTTTACTTTGAGGGATGTGATAAGAGTAAATAATTAAGACAATTTTACACGTCATCATTTAGTCTAACGTTTACTTTCTGGGATGGAATTGGCAGAAACGTATCCCACATTTACTTTGGATGATTAAATCAGTCATGAACCACACAAAAGACTTGTATACCGTTATATACGATTTGTTTTGCTCCTCTTCTCCCCCGATCAAAATTCCCTGGTCTACTGTAATATATCTTTGCCCTAGTTCATCCGAGGACGTGCGCGACAAGGAGAGGCAAAAACGTTGGCCTTGACGAGAAGCTGCCACAACGTTGTATAGATTACGTCTTCTTTAAAAAAAAAAGAAAAAAAAAACTCACATAGTAACTTCAATGCTACTTTACCTTCAACCAGAATGAAACTCGAAACTTAAATTATTACCAACGCCTTCTTCACAGCAGCTCCCACCAGACTTTCAGTAAAAAAGGCGATCTTAAATTAAAGTGAGCGCTCGTCAAAAGATTATCCAGAAACAGACGCCTAAGCAGAGGGTTCGGGCTCAACGTTCTGATTTTTTCTTCAACCCGGTCGAGATGTGCTCAATCGAACTAGGGTTTATGCAAAAACCGAAGCAATCGAACAAAGGATTCCGATTTAATCGACAATAATAGCTATGATGTAAAATTTAAGGAGGTTTCATCTGTAATATGTTGTAGAAAATTATTTTATTTTTTTACCGAGTACCAAATCGAATGATTCGTTCCCCGGGTCGATCTCTCGAGGAAGACGGTTCGGAATTTAGCGTTGGTCTTAATCACACACGAAAAGAAAATAAGTCCTAAACACTCTAATCACGATTGATTTGGGGAATCAACAAAAACAAGCTAGAACTAGAAAAACAATTTAAAGAAATAACAATTAAATTTCTAGAGAAAAAGAAGAAGTTCTAGAAGTTGTGAAATCTCATCAAGTCTTAAAGTATGTTGAATGCTTATTTGTTCGGTTACGAGATTAAACAAGCCTACACGTCTAGAGGGCTATGCTAAATAACTCTTCGTAACAAGAGCACAAACATAAACGATAAATTCATTCAAACAAGCAACACATAGACAATACTTTTATGAACATGTCTACTCTAAACGAGCCTAAATCGACCGACGTCTCCCCTCTCGGTTCTAAATGTCGATTAACTAGGTTAGAATGGTGATCAATCAACTAACCATATAATTCACACAACTCGTATAGATTGAAAAAAACAAATTCCTCATAATTCAAAACAAGAATCAAAATCCCTAACCCTAGGTGAATGGATTACCTCATGCTTAGATTCAATTTCATCTTAACCGGAATTAAGAACATAAAACCAATCAACAATAATAAAATAGAATTGAAAACTTACAATCGGATTAAGAGTTGCAAGAGTTCAATCCAAATATCTTTGTGTCCAACAATCCAAGCATGAGAGAAAAAAAAAAAAGAAAAGCGGAGAAATTTATCCTAACAATATTGAGTTTTTGGAGTGAAAAATTGAAAGGAACGATATTGGTGGTTGTTCCTTAGGTCTGGGGGTCGTTTTTATATACAGAGCTCGAAAAACGGAGCTAAAATGAGATTTACAACATTTTCTAACTAGTCGAGCATGCAATCCCAATTACAAAGTATCCGTATAAAATTTTGAAATTGTACAAAAGTCCATTTACTGCAATTTTTATTAGAGAATAAAATCATTACAGTTTTAGACCTGAAAACTAGTTACGGGAAAAATTTTACTGCATAAGCCAAACAGAAGAAAAGATATTCCCTCTTTTATAATCTAGGCATAATCTGAAATGTCTATCTCAAATAGAAATGGATTTTACCTTTAAGTAACATAGCATATTCCTCCATCTGGGGTCTCAACTGAAGAAAGTGGCTTCTATCTAAAATTGAAAATTTGAAATCCTCACACAGAAACCAGAATAAACTAAATATTACACAAACGTTCACCATGATAGGAAACAGGCAAAAATTTTATAGCTCTCAATAGAGAACAACTTTTTAAAAAAAATAAAAAATAAAAAATAAAAAATAAAAAATAAAAAATAAATAAAAAAAAAAAAAGAGAAAAACACTGTTGTATGGATATGGATCTGAAGAATTACACAAGAATCTCGATAATCCCTTCATCGTATTGTCCAAGTTAAACACACAATCACATTCTAGCTCAACCTTGTACAAGAATATTCATTTTACTTTTCTACAACAACATATTAGTGCTGCTCCTTTCTTCACTTGATAATAGCATAAGCAGAAGTGACATTTTCCGAACATTTAATGTTTATTCAAGAAGTAATCTTTTAAATATATCGTATTTCGTTGTATTCGAAAGCATAAGCGAAAACATGAATTCAAATCTTCAAATCTTACACGAAAGCTCAACAAAATTTACCAATTCAAAAAACTCACCAGAAATAAAATCGAACTCTCGACTTATTATCCAATCAAATCAAAAGCTGTCAGCCTTTCTACTTCTACTTCCCCACCTCCTTTTACGGGCCCTTCTCTTTCTCCCGTCGTCCTTCGCCTTATCTTTCTCTCTCAAATCCCTCTCACCCCTTCTTTTATACATCTTGAATGTCACATTCCTATCCTTGGCCATCTTCCTCACCTTCTCAGTGATCTCCGCCGCTATTTGTCTGTTATAAAGCTTTCGTAAACCGCGCATGAGCTTAGCAAACGTGTCCGGCTGAGGCATAAGCCCAGCATCCATCATATCCAGACAATAAGAGCATGCCTCCTTCACGTGCCCGTTCGAAAACAGCGCGTGAATCCAAATCGTCCATGCGTACACATTAAGTTCACACCCTTTATTCAAAATACAACTCCACAAATCCTTAGCCAGCTGAAGCTTATTGTCCGCTCGTAAAAGAGAATTCAACAAGTCTTTTAAAACACCGTATTGTGGGACGGAGAAAAGACCCCTCTCGACCATTTCTTTGAAATAATCACACGCNATTTTCAAATCTTACACGAAAGCTCAACAAAATTTACCAATTCAAAAAACTCCACCAGAAATAAAATCGAACTCTCAGACTTATTATCCAATCAAATCAAAAGCTGTCAGCCTTTCTACTTCTACTTCCCCACCTCCTTTTACGGGCCCTTCTCTTTCTCCCGTCGTCCTTCGTCTTATCTTTCTCTCTCAAATCCCTCTCACCCCTTCTTTTATACATCTTGAATGTCACATTCCTATCCTTGGCCATCTTCCTCACCTTCTCAGTGATCTCCGCCGCTATTTGTCTGTTATAAAGCTTTCGTAAACCGCGCATGAGCTTAGCAAACGTGTCCGGCTGAGGCATAAGCCCAGCATCCATCATATCCAGACAATAAGAGCATGCCTCCTTCACGTGCCCGTTCGAAAACAGCGCGTGAATCCAAATCGTCCATGCGTTCACACCCTTTATTCAAAATACAACTCCACAAATCCTTAGCCAGCTGAAGCTTATTGTCCGCTCGTAAAAGATAATTCAACAAGTCTTTTAAAACACCATATTGTGGGACGGAGAAAAGACCCCTCTCGACCATTTCTTTGAAATAATCACATGCCTCGATTAAACGCCCGTTCTCGACAAGCCCGTTGATCAATATCACAAAGGTGTCAACACCAGGGCTAAGGCCTTCTTCTTCTTCTTCAAGCTCGTTCATAATTTTCATACCTTCTTCTGTCTCCCCCAGTTTGCAGGACAAACGGAGTACGGTGTTAAATATAGTTAAATCAGGCGATACACCGATATTCCGCATCTCTTTTATGAGTTCTAAGCACTCTTCTAATTCTTCCTTTCTCTCGTGAGCTAACATGAAGTATAGATATGTCAATGGGCTGGGCGTGTGCCCTTTTCGTATCATCTCGTCTAAATACTCGTAAGCCCTCTGAATCTTACCCCACTTACAAAACCCGCTTATCAGTGTACTGTACGTGATGATGTCAGCTTCGCAACCATTCTTTTCCATTTCTGAAAAAATCCTCATAGCTTCCTCAATCTTCTCTTGAGCGCACAGCCCTTGGACCACGATAGTGTACGAGCCCGCATTCGGCTCGTAACCATTTTTCCTCATTTCTTGCATAAGATGAAAAGCGTCTGTCATTTTGCCAGCTGTCGAGTACCCAAGGAGCAAATTGTTGTAAACAACAACATCAGGCTCAAAGCCAGCCTCGCGCATTCTCACCAGCACGACTTTCGCCTCCATCAACTTTCCCGCCTTACACCAACCATACAGTAAGGAAGTGAACTGCTTTATGGTCGGCTCGAATCTCTCCCTCATGTCCTCGAAAAGCAGAGAGGCTTCTTTTACGCTGCCATTCTTGCAAAGGGCGTCAAAAAGGCACCCGAACACGTATTCGTCAGGCTCACAGCCGTACTTTGGCATCTCGTCCAAAACCTCGATTGCCTTTTTCACCATTCTTGTGGATGCAAATCTCCTCATGAGAATAATAAATACCTCTGGGGATAAAAGTTGAGGGTTTTCTATCCTCATCTGCTCTATAAGGGCCCAAACAGCTCCGAATTGCCTCATTTTGCCTAAATTCTTGATCAAGGACTTATAGACTTCGTAACTGTGAGTGTAACCTGGTTTTTTTGATGCCCACACAAAGAATCTGTATCCTAAGTTCCCAGCATCACCACATCGGTTAAGAACTC